GGGTGGCGTGTCGGTGACACCCCCAGTTGCGGGTCGCTTTGCAGAAGTACGGGCCGCAGGGGATACATGCGTATCGACCGATGGCGCGGGCGCAGGCGTGGGGTTCGCGGCTGAACGAACAGCATCGAGCTCGGTGGATGAGGGCGGATTGGGCGCGATGGTGGCGGCGCGAAGCAAAGCCACAACTTCCTCGCCGTAATGGGACCAGCGCAGCCATTCGCTCGAGAGGATCTTCCTGATGTGCTGCTCCTGCAGGGGCAACTCGAGCTTGGCAATCTTGTCGAGAATCTGCGTTGGGAGGACGGTCTCTGGGGTCATCGAAGTCCAGCCGAAATCACGGTCAAATATTGTCTCGCGCCAATCGTCCAGGTGAATCCACACCGATCTGGACGGTTCTTTGGCGTAAGTTACCCGTCCTTCGCCACCGCGTTTGGGTCGTATTCCGGGCCGCGTGCGATCCAATAGGCAGGGATCGCATACATCGCAACAGGCAACAGTAGGGTCTGGATGGTTTGAGTACCTCGACGCGAACGACATGACGGAAGGGAGGGACATACTTGGTGGAGGATTGTTGAAGACGTCGGCAAGAACCACGCGCCTACACTGCCTGGTTTGGACGAAATGATACATTCCCTCGCTCTCATGGCTATGATTCATGGGAGGGAAAGCTTCTTCTGATGAGGGGAAGTCATCCTTGCCGCCGCGACCGCCGCGAAAGCGCCCATGATCAGCAGGCCAGGTGTCCTGCTGCTTCTTCTTCGCTTTCTTCTTCTCACCACCACCTTCGCCACCCGCGCCGCCCTTCTTCTTTCGTTTCCTACCCTTTGCCTTCTTAGCAGCTGCGATCGCCTCCTGCAAAATGTTACGCGAGTACGCCGATGGCTCCACAAGCAACACGCCAAGTCCGGTACGTCCTGCACCACGCGCGGCGCGACCAGCTCGCTGGACAAAGCTTGAGAGCTTCTTCGGGAGCTTCCATTGTACGACGAGGTCTATGTCGGAGACGTTGCAGCCCTGCCGACGTGTTATGGTTCGCATTCATCATATCTGAATGTGACTCACCATTCCTGCCGCGTCCGTACAAACCAAGATTCGGACTTTGCCCTGCTTGAAGCGCCGCATGACCTTCTTGCGGTACTTGGTGCTGTGTACGGCGTTGTAAGGGCGAATCGCGCCGTGCATCGTGATATCGGGGAGAAGTGTTCGGAGATGATTAACAATCGCGGTTCCCGTTGGAATGCTATCAGCGTAGATGAATGATTTGGGAATGTCGTTGATAGATGTGGGCGACGGTGGGATGACAAAGTTGAGATCGGTGTACGAATTGATGGGGTTCTGGATTGCGCGTGCAACGAGTGATACGTTCGGCCTGTCGTTTCCGAGGTCTATGTAGAGGTAACTATCGCGATTGAGCTGTAGCTTCTCCACGACATCGCGAGTGACTCGTTGAGTCAGGGATGCGGAGAGGGCGACGAAGGGCGTATCGCGCGAAAGAAACACGCGTATACTCCCAATCTGAGAGTACTTCTTGCGGAAATCAGCACCCCAGTGTGAGATACAATGCGCCTCGTCGATTACAACTGAATAGACTTTGCTTGAGAATATGCGGTTCCGGAGGACGCGATCCAGAAAGCGGCGCGACAAGAGCATCTCAGGAGACAGTAGAACGATTCTGTACTGCCCATCAATGACATCCTATATGCGACTACGTGAGTACATTGGTCAATTGTGCTTTCGAAGAATGGTCACCCGAAGTTGCTGGTCGGTCGTTTCATGTGAACTGTTGAGTGCGACGGCTTTGATCTTGAACTCGTCTCTGAACGTCTCAACCTGCGAACTATGAGGACCTGGACATGTCGGGGTGCATCAAACTCGTACCATCTCCTCTTGGAGACCAACCAGTGGTGACACCAATAGCATCACTTTGTCCGCATTCTCTCGAAGTAGGAATGGACCGGCTGCGACTGCCGTCTTGCCCATGCCAGTCGCAACATGAACGAGGACATCCCGTCCTTCTTGTTGAGCACATATCGCCTCGATCTGGAACTCGCGAGGCTCCTTTCCGCCAAACTCCTCGCGGAACAGCTCTCGCAGCCGTTCGATTTGGGCTTGGGTCATCTTCTGTCGCGGCGGGGGTGGCGGACGCGGGATAGGTTTCGGCTTCATGCTTTTGGGTGCGAGGAACTTGGCATTGGCTACTCGGCGTGCATTGGCGCCAGCAGCCGATGGCATCGTGATGTTTGTGCGCGTAGAACAGGCTGAGGTTGAGTACCCGAGACAGTGCTATGACGGTCGGGTTGAAGATGCAAGACTTCAGTTCCGCGACAGGACTCCTTATTTGCGCATCTTGTTCTTTCCCTGCATTGCCCGTCAGAGCGCCCCTCTTGCTTGATCTCGCCTACACAATTCACATCCATACATGACTACCACAGGCTCTAATGAACACAGAGGACACCCAGACTGGTCATCCCTGCCGCCTTCATCTCCAATCCCGCACTCGCCCTCAAGCTCCTCAACTTCCTCTGGGCCACTTCAGCTAGAAGAGCATGATAAAGACGTCAATCTCGATGATGCTCCATTCAGAATGTCTCCTACACCCAATTCTGCTCGTGCACGAGATGCATCAATGCCGATACTAGACGTCGGTGAGACTATGGCACCTGCTGTACTCGATGTCCCTCGTACTCCGGACCCACTCAGATCGGGTAGGCATGCACAAGACCACTGAAGCAAAACCAAACTCATGTACTGTCCAGCCAGCACACGAGCGTCGACATTCATACCATCACGGTTCGAGGGAAGGAAGATCGTTGAGGCAGATAGTGACGACAGCGGGATATTTGAACCGTCGTCGCCTGTACGCACAAAGGCAGATCGTAAACGGAAAGGTCAGAAACAGCGGCGGGCTACCATGGAGCGGAATAAGCTGGAACGCGAGGCGAACCAGGCACGCGAGAAGGTGGAAGCCGAGCGTGCAGCAAAGCTTGCTGCAGAGGTCGAAGTGGCTCGGAAGCGCGAGGTCGCAAAGTCAGTAATGGGCGCGCTAGAAGCAGGCAGATTGACACTCGCTGAACTTCTCCTCATCCTGTTTGATCCCGGCGACAACGGCATCACAGAGCGAGGATGGCGATGGTTTAACTTCTTCCAAGATACCAAAGCCGTTCATACGATCCTCGAGCTCATGGTCGGCAAGAAGAACTCCCAAACGGCCCGCCGCACGGCGGAGAGAGGCATGCTCAAGGTCGTCTCACGCACTGTCTGCCTCGAGGCCGACAGGATCACACGGGCAGGTATACTACGCCCACCGTCTTACGAGACGGTTGATGAGGATTTTGTCCTGGGGCTTAAGTTCACGGAGCTTGAGAACACCATACAGTCACATTGTCCAAACCTCTCGGAACTGCTGCTTGGGGTCGTACAGACGGCGAGACAGGCAAAGGAATGCACCGCGAAGAAGCTGGATCAAAAGCGCTTTGTAAGCAAAACAATATCTCGCTTCGGAAGATCACTACTTACGATGCTATAGTTGGCGGCATGGTTCGCTGCGGGACTGCTTGGCGAACGCAGCCAAAGGAACTCCTACTTGCAGCACATCATGGGGCTATACCTGCTTAGCTCTGGGGCTAGCCGACAGGTGCACGCCGTTCTTAATCACCTGGGTGTGAGCGTCAGCTACACGACTCTCATAGGTGGAGGGATGTCGAAGAAGAAGGTTACCGTTGCAGCAGATGAGCCTTCTGCGCCCGCAAACCCTACACCGGCCGCTGACCCCGCACGGTCCACGAATCCCGCGCCGACCGCAAACATCGGCGGTACACCTTCCTCCCGTAGTGGTGACGCGCACTCGAATGGGCCCAATCCTGAGCCAAGAGCCTCTGACGTCGACGTCATAAGTCGTGGCGATGCTGGTCATGGACAGGTCGCAGCCGACACCGCGTCGAGTGGACGGAGCACGGGTACTTCAACCGATACAACAACCCAGGGTTTAGTGCCAGATGAAGCACTGAAAGCGCCAGCAGACGCAGACGCTGCGGATACGTCAGTAAGCTCTAACAAAGTGCCAGCAAAGCGCACACGACGTACTGGAACTCTAGACAAGTTCTCAATGTCAATGCGCCGTCTTGCTCGTATTGTTGCGCTGCTACCGTCATTTGTCGTCTACGACAACATCAATTGGAACCTCAAGGTAGCGGAGCAAATACTGCTACGTACCGGTATGCACTTGCGCTATGGCTGACATGCGATGTACTGACAGCCGGATCGTGTCCAGACACAATGCAGAATGGTACCTGCGCGACACTTATCAAGCTCTTCGAGGCCGACTGGGATAACTTAAGTACAGAGGAGATGGAGAAGGTTTTCGATGCCGCACCTCCCCTTGATCTCACGGATATCGAGCTAACGCCCAACGAGACCGTTCAACAACGCGCGACCTTCATTCACGTCGTCCTGAGAGCCGCAGTGCGCTATGGTGGCGAATCTTTTGCAAAATTTCGTCAGCAGGTTGCAGATAGTCTTCCGGAAACGGAGCTGAAGATACCTGTACACAAGACGGAGTTCTACCCGCTGCCGGCCTTCGAGATCGATGAGTCGTCCAAGGCGGGTAACGCGAACTTCGTCGACGCGGCAACTGAAGAGCTTGAGATCATTGATTTCCTCAAAGCGCGTGGCCTCGCTGGTGATCAGCTCTCGATAGCACGCTTGCGAGAGGTCGCTGAGGCGCGAGCGGGCAATGAGGGCGGGAAGGACGCGCTTCGATGGGTGTACTTCATCCCCGGCATCTTCCACTACAAGATAGCTGGTACCACCGGAATACTCCTCGATCACCTCGGCCCCAGCGGCCGTGATCTCACAAACCCTGCATCCCTCACCGCCCACAATGCCGTCCTTACACGCAAGCCTATTGTATCGACTTCTCTGCCGACCTTCCGCACATGTCGCGATTTGATCCTCGTCTCCCTGACTGCACGTCTTCTTCACTGCCTACTCTTAGTCTCAGGCAAGGACTCTCTTGACGACTACGCTACATCGGCTACGTGGGACTCATTTCAGGCCGATGCCGCATCTGTGGTGGACCGGTTCGCTAACCCGCGCGTGGTACACAACCTCCGCCGGGAACGCACGCGTAACGGCGAGGAACACGGCGACATGGTCTTTGAGAATGCGGTCCTTTTCAACCGCGACGCTCTTCTTCTACGCGAGTTTGTGGACGCAATCAAGGCGGGCGATTCGGGCCGCGTCATCCTTGTACTCAAGGTCTGGGCTTTCACGTACCGCGCGCAAGGCCGTGTCAAGTACGCGCTCGAAGTGCTGTATCTGATACACAACCTGACACATGTCTGGCCACAGGGCTTGCGGTGAGCTGCTCCTTGTGTAGACCACTCTATCAGTCTCCATTTACTAACTGTGATACAGCGACATCGTGCTCAAGAACTGGCTGGTCAATACAACTGGCCATCCCTCCGGCTTCTTGGAGGTCGACCTCCTTCAAGAACATATGAATTTCTGGATCAAGGTAGTCGATGCGGCTCAATTGAGAACTAGAGCTTGTATTGATATTGTTTGCAGACCTACTTTCAAGCACACGGCACCAACGCGTCATGGGAATGGCTCAAGACCATTGCACCGTGCGTACGCGTTCTGCGCCAACTGTCGACCGATATCAACTCCGCCCTCGGCTCGAAGCAGGGCACTCGTCACGCGGAGCCAGACCTCTCGGAAGACATTCAAGAGCTTATGGATAGCCTGCAACATCATGGCGTCTATACGGTCAAGCCTGGTCGTCATTTTGACGCTGATGATGACAGCTTGGTTGCGGACGCCGTTGCACGCGGCCACGCTATGCTCACGACCGGCCCGACCTCGCCCCTTGACGCTTTCAACGAACGCTTTCGTAGTCTTCAGCATCAGTATCGTGTTCCACCGGTCGTCGGTCGTGCTCGCGCGGGCTCGGGCTCAAGTGGCTCGTCTGAATCTTCTGACGATTCTGCCGCCGACCAACCTGACCGTGAGTATTTCACATTCGTAGGCTTTGAACCGTCACTCATAGCCAATGACTTCAAGCTCACCCGATCCCACAAGCAGAGCAACCGCTGCCGCCGAACGAGGTGCCGCTCGCCGATCCACAGCCGGCTCCGGGTGCTTCGGCAGATGATGACGATGACGAGTCGTCTGTTGGCGAGGAAAACGAAGACACAGATATTTTCGCACCTCTCGGCGAAGATGACGTCGATCTTGAGCAGGATGCAGATGGTATCATGTTTGACGAGGACACTGGTGACACGGGGGAGCACGATTGGGATGCAGAGTACAACCCTGACAGTGATATTGAGCGCGATGTACCTAGCGAAGATGAGGTTGACGATGAAGGAGATGATGTATTTTGTTAGCAAGTAAATAACTGCCAGCATGCCCAACACTGTATTGTACTACACATGCTTCTGATAGTCACAATTCGTCGTGATTAGTAAGGTATAGTCGGGTCTAATTGGACAAACACGTCGAACACGTTGAGTGCGAATCGAACTCTCGACCTCTCGGCGCAAAAAACCAAAATCACGCAGTCAGTCCAACAGCTCAGCCAAACGACCTCCAAAAGGTCTTGCCGCACACCACAATATATTATCGAGTGCCCCTGACCCCCTAGATGGCCTCTCTAGCTCGTGTATTGTATTTCTTGATGGCTACATGCTCCTCAAAGCGCTCCGAGCAGCGTAGAAAGCCAGTACTACCCCACTCATGTGGCCACAAGGCATAATGCCAAGGGACCGACCAGCCGTACACTGGCCAACGCCCGCAAGAGGCGAGCGAGAGCGAAATTTCGCTAAGTCGCGCGCATCTTTTGGCTGGCGCGCCAAACGGCCCACGAAGTGGCCCAGACGTTTGGGAGGTTGACCGGCTTGCCCGGCACCATCACTCTCTCCATCAAAAGGTGCCTGGCCGCCGCGTCATCGGACCTCCCAAACGGATGGATGCGAGACTATAAGCTGAGAGCCTTGCCGCGCCTATGCATGGCCCGTGAGAACAGCGCGCGGGTTTCCGAGCCGGTTCCGGCCACGAGAACTGATTGTTCGGCATCTGCGCCCCTCACCACCACGACATGAGTGCCACACATACGCGCACCTCACATCTTTTGGCACTAGCCAGAACTGTACTCTATCGGAGCTCACCGCCCGACCGACGTCCCTCGCTAGCGCCGGCGAAGCTCCCTACATAGCTTGCGGGACAGAGCTAGCGTCCACCATCGGACTTCTATGTCAAATGTCGTATGTCATTCCGAAGGCGGTGAATGGTTCCGACACGCTATGGGGTCTTGGTCGATGGGTATACTGTGTAACATGTAAGACCCAATACCCGACTGGCAGCGGCACTTAGAGGCGGGCTTGACGAGGCGTACCCTACTTCAAGAGTTCAACACAGATTCCGTCGAGCTCGACATTGCGAACTTGATTCTATCGCAACCCAGCTAGTATCTATTACTGTGCAGTAGTCTACTGGCCCTGACGAGAATGAAATAGGGTATCGTGGCATCTTACTCCTCTTGGACAGAGAAATGGGTTGCCATTGTGAAGATAGGCACCGACTGCGTCGCAGCCTACTGCCCCGATTGGACGAGAGTGATGCCAACCGGCATCAATGGCGTATAGCGCCGACTTTGATGAGATGCAGTGGATGACCGGGCTACTCTCCGGGGTGTAGAGAAGCGGAGAGAGTATGGCACGTTATATTTTCTCCCCGTCCTCCGTCCCAACCCTCCTCCGCTCCGCACTATTCCTCTTGTCACGAAGATCACCATAGACCGTCGTCCTCCGTCACCCTTTTATGCCTCCTCAAAAAGATATACTGGGTGCAAAGCGCGGTCGCGGCCGCCCAGCCAACGCAGGCGTTCCTCAAAAGTGTATGATCATGGAGAATATCGGCGTGTATAGGTCTCTCAAGGCTCGGTCCGCACCACAGCACGACGTTTCCAGGGCTGCTGACGCAGAAGCGAAAAGATTGATAGAGTGCTATGGCTGGGAGAACCCGCTTCGCGCGGTTGTCGCGGGGGGGATTACTGAGGGCAGTAATCATGTGGTAGATGGAAAAGAGCAGAAGCGCAGAGATGGTATATTCAAGAAGGTCCGCGCGGTATGTCTATGATCTGGCTTCTGTCGCCGCTCAAAGCTGACACTCATGATAGGAAGTACTGAAGGTTTGGCGGGAGAATGCGGTTCATGATACAAGAGTGGAAGTAGCAGGCAGGCCCTCGACCGAAATCGCCGAATTGCTCAAGTTATTTGCGCACAAGCCCCGCCGGAAGCAATTGTATCATATTTGGGCGACGTCCAAGCCACGCCCCGATCTCGAAGAGGAGGTGGATTTGCGACACGCTGCTAGGACACGGACCAGTACTTTAGGCGGGACACCGCTCCCCCGCGTGGCGACTTGGAACGCAGTTGCCTCGGAATGGTACAAGAACGCGAGTAAGAAGGAGCAAAAGGCGGCCCGCAAACAGAGAAAGCGAGTTTATAGACAGGACATGAAGCAGTGGAAATCCAGCGCATCTGCGATGCCCAAGTCGCCCGATGAGGCAATCGAGTAAGAGCAGGCCTCCGCTCTATTGTGACGCGTACTTACTACAATACCGACAGATTCATGAAGTCTTCACAACTGTTCCTGAGCGATCTCATGCATTTCTTTGCCAATCGCACTTCTGGTATAGCCATCATGTACTTGAGCGGTCCGAGCGGCTCGAGCCTGATGTATGTAGCCACCCTTTTCATGCGTATCGTGCACTCACGTTATAGGCAGCTCTGAGGGCGTGTGCAATGTACTCGAGCAGCCGAAATTGCTATACACGGAAGTTGACCCGGAAGGTTGTGCGCAGTTCAAGTACGCACTATCAAAACAAGCACAGATCCTGAACGGTAACGCATCATACATATTTTAAGTTGCCTATACACTGATACCATGCTGCAGAGGCAAAGTGGGGCGTAGTGGCTGCTGATGCTCACCACCATCCCATTGCATGCGATGTCTACTTAGACGGTCAGTCCAACGAGGACGAGGACGATGAACAAGACAGCGGGGACCAGCAAAGCGCCGAAGAGACGGATGGCAAGAGCAGCAGTGAATCGGACTCGGACTCGGACTCGGACTCGGACTCGGACTCAGACTCAGACTCAGACTCAGACTCGGACTCGGACTCGGACTCGGACTCGGACTCGGACACCGTGCAGAGGATCGAATTTCTACACCAACCTTCATTGTTGGATGCCAATCGAAGCCACGGCGCACGAAATGACCCCGCTTTCGCTCATGGTAAGCGAGGTTTATTTGATCGTCGACGCACTTGATACTGATATCTCTCAAGCAGGTACCGACGCGTCAACAAACACTAGAACTGACAAAGACGACTCGGATTATGGAATGCATCTCATTTCAGTGAGTAAAAATCAGCAGGGTGAGGAAAACGGCTGATTAAGAATGCTGCGCGAAAGATGAACGATCCGATCGCTGACGAGCGTCAACCGACGCAGGGGGGCTCGACGTCTGGCCTATTTGCATTCGACGTCGAAGGGTTGTACAACAAGTCGGGCATGGGCACGGTACGCTTTGTCTTGGCATCTACTCACGATCTAATTTAAGATTCTGCATAGGCCAAGTATGCACGGGCGTTCCAGGCGGCGATTACGAAGATTCTGCCGGATAAGGCGTGGCTGGAAGAATCCAACACTGTGAGTTTTCTCAGGGCAGTACCAGCAAAACTGGCGGGTCTGGTCGACGTCGACGTAGCCTGTGATTTGAGTTTGGCGTATCTGAACTTTGAGGCTTGCGGTTTGGTGAGTGCATTCACCGACGCATGGGGTGGCACTTACGCGTAGCTAGGATGAAAGGAGTGTGAACTTGCGGGCGATAAAGATGTCGGAGCAATGCGCTGCCAGTCTTCAACCGGGTTACATGGCAGACCTTGGGCTGCGGGACTTTGCTTCACGTTGGCACCGCAGAGCGGAAAGGGCAGACATCAGGACTCCGGCGAAACTGGACGCAGATGTCGACATCACGTTACCCCAGCAATGGGCCCTGCTGCAACCAGCTGAACGTCGGGATGAGCGCGGGCGCTTATGTCGAGCTGCAGACGAACGCATGAAGTGGAAGAAAGCGCTGGCGCCTGGCTTGGACGGTGTTCGTCTACTTGTCGTGACGACATTGATATGGGCCTGGAACATCAAGGGTGACGAAGAGCGCACCCAGTGGTCATATCTGGCGACCGACATCCTGCAAGTTCTGCGTATCCTGATTAGGCAGGTGGGAGATTTAGAGGGTGGAGAACCAACGCCGGAACCGAGTGACCACGTTGGGCGGAAGAAGTCGGTGCGCAAAGCGTGAGCAAATCGATTCTCCCGATGTAAGCGCGCGATTGACGATGATCATAGGGCGAAGAGCGCAAATGTTCGACAGTCAGAGAGGCCCAGATGAACTCGGTCACCGAGTCAAACGTGGGCGTGGTATAGAGTCGGGAGCTTCGCAGGAGGGTGAACAGATCCGCACATGTTTACCTGAAAGCACGTCGAGGAAGCTCGAAGCAGCTAGGCGCCGGGCTGGATACAACCAGCACGGCTGCGTACATTGCACTACGCACTTTTGTACTAGCATAGTTTCTTTACTCAGCTCATGACATATCGAAGCAGGTCGTTTAAGCGTGCTGCGCAAGAAGGCGAGGGCACGGCCTCACACGCTGAGGAATACAGGGTCTGCACGTGCTACGGCTCTGTCTGTTGAAGGCGTGACGGTTGTGACAGTGAGCCGCGGACGCGACGCGTTCGTCCTGTGTCGCTTCTCCCTCCAGCTCAACCTTCTGGTACCTCTTACACACTGTCTACGGCTAAGCTTCAGCGCGTCAACTGCTTCTATGGACTCTTCGACGCGTAAACGCAAAGCTGAGGAAGCGCTAGATGTACCTCAACCTGACAAGGGGCGAGTTCGCGCTGGAGCTCAGAAACTCCTGGCTCGGAGAAGGGTTCGCAAAGGCAAGGCCCACGACATGATGACAGCGGGCGCTGGCAGAGCGTCATCTTCTTCGCATACGACGCCAGCTATGTCTCGTCTACAGTTGCCGCCCATTACTCCGCCTTCGGGCCTGCGGACCGCCTCGTCTATGGGGTTAGCAACAGGTCGACCTCGCGCCGCCATGACCTTGCTCAGCACCCCCACTGAAGATGGGACCCCGTCATCCTTAGGGCGTGGCCACTGGTCAGCTTTTAAGTCTGGTTTCACGCCATCATTGGACGCAGGTATGTATACTACGCAGCGCTTGCCGACCAAAAGCTAATGAATATATGAAAGATTCGTCCGCTTTAGGCGATGATTCTCTTCCCACTGCTACCGCTTCGACATTCACGTTTTCCGCCGAAGTACCTCCGCCTTCCTGCTCCGAGGAGGAAACGAATGAAGACGAAGATAACAATGGACGCGCAGAAGACGGCGAGGAAAAGCTCACGTGGTGGCAGATTGCTGGCCGCTCCATGGATACTGTGAGTCCTTTGCATGCCATCTGAATTGCGTATACTTACTGTAGCCATAGGTATTTGCCAATATCGCGTGGTTTTCGGACCACAGCGAGATGTATCTGCTTGAAGTCGCACGCTTAAATGCTCCACCGCAATACCCGAAGTGCGTGGAGTGCGTCTACTTCAAAGGTATCCCAAGCGAGGAAGCGCCCGCGCCGGAACATTGTTGTATAGATTGCCGTGCGGGTGAGTGGTGCAAGGAGTGGCGTACGGCATGTCCATCGGTACGCGCCTTTCCACAGAATAGAGGTGAGCGCCGGCCAGGAATGATCAATTGGGAAGGAGCAACTAATACCTGAATGTAGAAATTTTTCGGCGGCTTCTGGAGACGCGTGCAGGACAAGGCGGCCCTTGGAATCTAAGTGCAGCTTATGCACCCAGCCGGCGACAAGTGCCACGTCTACGATTACGCCCACGTAGACAAGTTTTCGGTCATTCACGGTACGGCATGTACCGCATGCGCGTGCAGTTCTGCAAATGTTCGCGAGGAAGGTCTGTACCGCGTTGGGGTCAACTCTTGCGCTCGCGGCTCTGGGCTTCAACTAGCGATGATCCGAAGAGCGCGACGACATTTGAATGCTTGGACGCCGTCACTCGCCTATCGATGCTCGGCCGCTTGAGCGAATACGACTTTCACAGGGCCATAGAGGCGGCGACAGACGGCGCGCGCGTCTTGAGTTCGACGGTAGGCAGGGTTTCTTCCTCCTCCAATCCCCGGCTGATAGATATGATCAGAATTTGCGCAAGCAATCCACACGCTGCGCTCGATAGTTTCAGCACATATTCTTGTTCAAGCGCGCAGGATGTGCGCATGAAGACGGTGGCATTGTCGGCACTCCGCCCGGAGGTTGCCCTATTATTCCCCCTGCTTGTCCGCGCGAAGGATATAATACCTTGCATGACTGGCGCTCGGGCTTATTTTCGTACGTTCTCCATTCAATGATGTCGCTACACGCGCTCATGATAAGCAGGCGGTCGTATAACGCGCTCTTCTCTACAGACGCCAACTTCCGTGTGTCGAATCGGCTGTCGCGATCGACAGAGAGCACGGACCCGTGCTTCAATGATGGCCGCGCATACCTGGTGCCCATGAAGGAGTACAGCGCGTACGTGGACTCCGTTGAAGCGGGCAAAGACGAGGAGGTAAGGTCTGTGCGTTTGAAGCCATATACCGTCGCTCAGCATTCAAAAGCGCGCAGGCTGCTCTCGGGAAAGGGTTGCGCACAACGGGCGTAGCTGGTATGTTTTGCGCTCGCCACGAGCTTTGGCAGCCGTTGGGTTTGGCGCCTCTGAAGAAGGGAGAACAGTGCGCCCGTTTGCATAATTGCATACTGTAATCGCTACTGACATATACCTTGCAGATACAGGGCTATCGATTTCATCTCGACGATGGCGCATCGGTTCGTTCGAGCTCCCGTCGTGGTGCATCCGTACGACATCGTATATCAGTGGCACAAGAATCTTTTGAATAGGCTCGCTGCTGTCAAGAAGGCCGAGCACGAAAGCGTCTTCGAGGGCGCGCGCGCAATGATCAGCCGAGCTCTCGTCTTTGTCGTGCCGAAATTTCATATCTTCGCCCACGTCCTGGACTGCTTCTTACGCTTCCACCCAAGCTACACGCGTGGTGTGGCACAGGCGGACGGCGAGGCATGCAAGCGTGTATGGGCGAGCGTCAACCCGGCAGCCACAAGCATACGCGAGATGGGACCAGGTCTATGCGGGACGCGATGGACAGCATATGCAGTTCGCACAGCCATTAAAAGGTCTGCGGTCTTGGTGAGTAGCCTGGATGTATGCATGAGTGCGACGCGGCACTGATGATGCTGTTGCTCGGTCGTTGCATGATCGCCTCGTTAACGCTCTTCGCCAGGCACGCATACATGCCGCGATCTTCGCGGCGGCGGAGGAACGCACGCTGGAGAGGGTTGCGACCATGTTGCAGGCGGTGGAGCACTTTGAGGAGGATATGAACCCGAAGGCGGGTCGGCCGTGTCCGTACAAGGATGAGGGCGACGGTAAATACGATGCCTAGTAGCCTTTGCAGTAGCTTATGTATTCTTCACAGATTTGATGTCTGAATACATCGCGGCGCTCGCAGAGAAGACGGATACAGTTGCGGACCAGCCGAGCAGTACTGTCGATGCTGAAGACGGTGTCGGCGAGACGGCTGCGAATGCGCGCTGTGCGAATTCCGGCTGCGCGGACCCTACCTGCACTTCGGCCGAGGGCGACGATGCCGATGGACTGGCAGATTCGTGTTGTGCGAACTCAAGATCGAAGAGATACGGTACGCTTTCATGATGCTGTCGCATAGGCTCTGCTTGACGATGTTCCTTATTCAGGGGGAAGAGCAAAGCTGGCGTGGCCGACGAACCAGCAGAGTGCGAAGCCGGTAGCGCGGAGGGCATGGCGCGTGCTGTTCTGACCTTCAAAGAGGACCAACAACGCCTCATGCCGGCTACCTTCACAACCATGACAGGTCGCGACGCTCTGCCAGACGATGACGAAGCATGCAGCGCTAAGCTGTGCTTGCCGTCGGAGCTATCCCCGCAATTACGGGCCGAGTACTCGACGCTCGTATCCATGTAGTTGTCTCGACGAGAGCCTGGCATGCGCACAGCACTCAACCGGCTCCGATCGCTGCTTCAGCTCCGCACCTACATCAACAAGAGCAAGAAGGCGAATAACCGTAGCCAGGGTGCGAAAACGCGCGCGCACGATGCCGAGGCCGCCGTCGACAAACGAATTGCCGTCGCTGCCGACGAATATAGGCGCCGTCGAGCTGCATACCTTACACTCGCAGGAGAGGGCGATTGGACGAAGCGCTATCGAGAGCTTGCGGCCAGCGATATACGCGGTTTAGGAGACCGGACAATTGAACGCATCGTACCGCTCTCGCAGGATAAGGCGAAGCGCTTCGTGCAGTTGACAGAAGCTGGCATCGATCCAGCTGCTACCCGGACCCACGGCATCGATGCCACGTCGGCTCAGACGCATCACGTTGTATCCTGGCTTTGGTACAATAGTGAGGACGGCAGCCCGGAGTTCACGGACGGTACGTACTGATTTGGCGATTCATTCCATCATCTGCTTATGCTCCGTGAAGACTTGATGATCGAGAGCTACTCATCGCCGTTACTTCCTATAACGAAGACAAGGGCCTCTACTCTTGCACACTTCACGGTGTCATGGACAACGTGCGGGACATCTGCCGTACGAAGGCGACGAAGTGCTGGAAACGCTCGGCGGAAGAGGGTGTACCCGGATGGCAGCGCATAAACGTAGCGCTCGTGGTCGACGGTCTTGATGCCATGGACAAGACGGTGCTCGATCTTCTAGCCACTGTCGGCATCTATCAGAACGGCGTGATGAAGAAGAAGGTTGACGGGAAAGACGCTGTGGCACACATATTCGAAGTACGCTATTACGCACACTATTCCATTCTTGAGCTGAAAGTTCGTTCAGTATACCACACAGCTCTCCATCAACCAGACGCCGGAACTAGTTTTGCCTCGCGGCGACGACCCGGAGAACCGTGTGCCCGTGCAGTTCGTCCTGATCCTGAAGGCGCAAAACCAGAAGAAAATTAACTCGCATCGCTGGCTCTTCAACGCGCTCGGTGGAATGCTGCAACCCGAGATCTGTGTGCTTATCGACGCCGGTACCAAACCGGGACGCAAGTCCGTCTACCATCTTTGGGAGGCGTTCTACAACGATCGCAACCTTGGCGGGCGCTGTGGAAAGATCCATGCCATGTTGGACGGCGGTCGCAAGCTATTCAACCCCCTAGTCGCTGCGCAGGACTTCGAGTACAAGATGTCGAATATTCTGGACAAGCCGCTCGAGAGCTCTTTCGGATACGTCAGCGTGTTGCCCGGTACATTCTCCGCCTACCGGTTCCGCGCGGTGCTGGGCCGACCACTGCAACAGTACTTCTACGGTGACCAGTCCCTGGCGTCGCGTTTGGGTGACAAGGGTGTGCACGGCATGAACATCTTCACGAAGAACGTGTTCTTGGCCGAGGATCGTGTCCTGTGCTTCGAGCTTGTCGCGAAGGCGGGGCAGTGTTGGACGCTTGCATACG